TGGAGGGTCTTTGTGATAAAATGACATGGTTTAGATAAAGAGCACTGTTAACATTGGAAAGGTGGGTACTAGAGTCGGAAAAGACTTCACATTTCTTTTTATCCTCACCCGAGGACATTTTTCCATATTTTGTTCAGATAGAGTGGGAGGGAGAGAAAGAGAGAAACATCGACATGAAAGGGACACATTGAGTGGTTGCCACCTGCACAGCCCAACCAGGGCCGGGGACAAACTGCAACCCAGGTACATGTCCTTAACGGGAACCGAACCCGGGTCTCTCTGGACCGCAGGCCGATGCTCTAACTGCTGAGCCAAACCGGCCAGGGCCCTTTTTTTTTAATTGTTGAAAGTATTACAGATGTCCCCCTTTTTTCCCCGTTGACCCCCTCCTCCCTGCTCCCACCCCCTTCTGCTTTCCCCAACCTAATGTCTGTGTCCATTGGTTGGGCATATATGCATATACATTCTGTGGACTTCACATTCCTTTAAATCGGATTCTCCTGCTACACCACAGGCCTTGGGGGAGGGGGACAGAATTTTTGTTTCTCTTAAGACCCTAGGTTTGCGTAACAGCCCCGAGGCTTGGTTCTGGCTGGTTGATAAAAACCACCTGAAGAGCCTCTGAGACCAGGTGAGCTGGAGACTCCATTGTTTACCTCGTGTGCCTTTTGAATTTGGTATGATATGAATGTATTATTTCCTCACTAAATCAAGTATAGGAATACGTTTGGGTGCCAGGAGCTTGTGCCAGCTGTTCTAAATCAGAGTCTGTGGGACTGGAGAAGAGGGATTTTATAAACCTGTACTATTTGAAAGCTTCCCAGTTGATTTTAATGCACAGTCAGGTTTGGGAGCTACTGTCCCAATGCATATAGTAGGAATTCAGTAACATCTGTTCAAAGGAAAAATGAACTCTTGTCTTCCTATGGCATTTACCCTGATGTCTTGTACTTAGCAGTTGTTTAGTAAATATTGCCTGAGGGAATTAAAACACATTTTGAGTTCAGATACGACCCCTCCCCCTATCCTTCTTGGCGGAGAGTATGGCCATCTCCTCCCCAGGCTCTCACGGTGGGGTGGATGGGCTACTCCTTACCTGGACCACCAGCCCGGCCTTACTAGCTGGTCTCCTGCATCCAGCTTGCTGCCCTGTGACCCTGTCAGCACGCTGCGGCCTGAAGGATTTTCCCCTTCGTCAAATCTGTTAATGCCTCTCGGTGGTTCCCTATCACCTACAGTATAAAACACTGTGGGAGCCCTTTAGGGCCCTGCATGATCTGGCCTGGCCCTTCCTTTCCTAGCTGGCCCCTCCTTCCCTTCCTTCCTTTCCTCACTCAGTAGGTAGGTGCTGAGGCCCCCCGGGTGCCTGCCCCACCGAGGACCCCTGGAGCAGACAGTGCACACACCTTCCCCCAACCCCCCACAGACCCATTCAGTCCCTGAGTACAGTGTACTCTTCGTGTTTTTGTTTTGCCCGTGGTGTTCCTTCTGCTTAGAATGCCCATCCCATACCCCTCTTTTATTTATTCATGGGACCAAGCCTTCCGGGCCGCCTATACCTAATGAATTGTCCCTTCATCTTCTGACACATACGTAGCTTGAGTATGAGGCCTACCGGTTGTTAGTTGCCAGTTTTGTTTCTTCCCTGAGACTCTCAGCTCCTTGAGGGCAGAGCCCTGCCTTGCTCCCCTCGGTTCCCCCAGCTCTGAGCACTGTGTCTGACTATGTTCGTCACTAACATATCGCTGGGTAAAACTGATAAGGAAGGAAGGTTCTGTGTGTGTGCCAAGAAGGCAAATCAAGGTGCTACTTAGTAACTATGATTCGTAAAGGGTTCTGCCACACAGTGGTAGGTAGTCCCCTGAAAGATGTCATACTTGGATTTTCCAAAGTTTGAGGCTGTTTTAATGACATATATGATGATGCTTTCTATTATATATGTTATTCTAACTATAAGTGAGACTTACTCAGTGTTAACAGTTGGCCTTTTGCTAACCATCCTGACTGAACCCTCTAAGAATCAGAGAATCCCGCAGAAGTGAATGTGGCCTGTACTCTGACAGCTCGGGTATTTATATTAGCCTGATGTGAAATACTGCATTCCCCAAATGGAGGAAGAGACCCATGGGAGGGTCACAGCGCTGTGAAGTGGGGTGTTTTGGAACAAGCAGTAATTTTGAGGTGAAAGAACAAAATAGATGACGTCAGCACAGAACCGAGCCAGGATGGAAGCCAGCTTTTTGAATCACATGGCGTGTGTTTTGCCAGATCTGAGACAACCCAGTCAGGCTGGATAAAGAATTGAAATGATGTATGGGCCTTACAGAAACCAAACTGGGTAAGAATATATGAGTCAGGAGGGAAAGTAGATCGTACAGGGGCCCAGAACAGAAAAGAAACATCGGCAAAGTACGGGATTGATTTATAACTCCTGTGATTGCCCTCTCTCCCTTCAGGGGCCCAGAGGAAACCTTAAAGATTTCATTTCATTTCATTTTTATTTATAGATTAAACCCCCCCTCCACCACCAGAGTTCTAGAAAAGATTCATGGAAGATTACAGTTAAAGGCAGGGTAGACAAGAGTTAAATAGAGACAGCGATACAGTAGTCACACCGGAAGCCCAGGCTCACAGTTACCACATGGGGTGATTCAAGTTCATTCTCACTTGTCTTGAGAATTAAGAGAAGCATGGTGAGTATATTCTTATTTTCAGAATTGAAGAATTTGTAGTAAAACTGTACTTTTTCTCGTGGCTGAATGAGATAAAAGAATTTATCGCTCTGGCTGGTTTGACTCAGCGGTTAGAGCGTCAGCCTGCGGTCCAGAGAGACCGGGGTTCGGGGTTCGGTTTCCGCTAAGGGCGTGTACCTTGGTTGCAGTTTGTCCCCGGCCCTGGCTGGTCGTGCCGGTGGCAGCCACTCGATGTGTCCCTTTCACGTGATTGTTTCTCTCTCTCTTCCTCTCTATCCCTCCCACTCTGTCTGAACAAAAAATGGGAAAATGTCCTTGGGTGAGGATAAAAAAACAAAACAAAACAAAAAAGAATTTATCAAATAGACCCTTGCATAAAGGATGTTAAATAACATAATAGGCCCAACTTATAATAGCTCTACAAAAAGGTGAAAAGAGATTCTTCCTGTGGCCATCTGGTCTTTCCAGCTGAATAAATGCTGTGAGCTAAATGTTCTACTCCCAGGCTAGGAAGACATTGCCACTGGGAGTTAGAGAAGTGTAATCACGCTGTATGGCTTTCTGGATAGCACTTGACGAGAGAGACTGAATGAATAGCTGGTTAGTATTTCCTGTAGACCAGGGGGTTTGGTTGTGTTTTTACTGCAGGGGTGCTGTCTTGGTGTACAGTGAAATTAATTTAGTGAGCTGCTGTTAGCATTTTTTAAATGAAAGGTAATAGAAAAGAACAGACTGCATCACACAGTAAGGGTCAAGTTTTCCTTTCTTTTGTGTTTTAGGCCACTAATGTACCATGTATTTATTGTAGGTAAGTACGAAAACCACTGCTTTTGACCGCCCCTCACGAGAGTAGTAGTTGATGGCTCTGGCCATTCCAGGCTGAGTAGAGAACATATGTAGAATATAACAAGAACTAGTCTCTGGGAAAAACAGAGGCAGGATCCTCAGACCAGAGCCACTGTGCCTTTAAGTTGTGCTAATTTAGGAACCTGTGATTGGATTCAGTATTGTGGATTCAGAAATACTTTCCTGGTTTCATTTTTTATTTGCCTTCAGTACCTCACAGAGTTCTTTTTGTTTGTTTGTTTGTTTTTTAATTTCATTGATTTTTAGAAAGAGGAAGCAGGGGGGGGAGAGAGAGAAAAAAACAAAAAACATCGATGGGCTGCCTCCAGCATGCTCCGTGACCGGGGATCGAACCCAAAACCCTGGTATGTGCCCTGACTGGGAATCGAACCCGCCACCCCTTGGTGTATGGGATGGTGTCCAACCAACTGAGCCACAGCAGCCAGGCTCACAGAGTTGTTTTTGAAAACCCTCTTCTGCTTTGGCTGTGATGAAAGGGAAATCAGAGAAGGAATGGGATGGGTCCCACAGCGGAGCAGGGTGCCCCTGGTGGTCATACTTGGTCTTGCAGCTGGACTTGCCACTGAGAGACCCTTGGAAGCCACAAAGTAGGCATGGCTGCTCCAGATCTTGCTACTAACCCGGAGCAGGCAATAACATACAGGTACTGCTTACTTAGGGAAAACTTTTTATTTATTTATTTATTTGTTTGTTTGTTTGTTTGTTTGTTTGTTTGTTTTTATTATTATTTTTTTAAATCCTCGCCCGAGGACATTTTTTTAAGTTTTTTTTCTTCAGATAGAGTGGGAGGGAGAGAGAGGAAGAGAGAGAGAGAGAAACAACGATGTGAAAGGGACACATCGAGTGGCTGCCACCCGCACGACCAACCAGGGACGGGGACAAACTGCAACCGAGGTATGTGCCCTTAGCGGGAACCGAACCCGGGTCTCTCTGGACCGCAGGCTGACTCTCTAACCGCTGAGCCAAACCGGCCAGGGCAGGGAAAACTTTTTAAAAAGCATTTTCCTGTTTTATGAATTGTGTTTGGATCAGATCACCAGAGCTATCTTTGAAAATAGATAAGAGGCTTGTGACAGGATCATGGCATTGCCCAACTCAAGGAGTTCAGTGCAGCAGCCTGTGTGTGATGAGACCCTTCACATTTTGTGGGGGGAACCCTCCTGCCCCCAAATTTGGACACGTATGTATAGCTACAACTTCGGAGAAAATTCTGAGAGTATTTTCAACTATAACAACTCTAAGCAACGGTTTGAGAAACAGGCTGGAAGGGGGTCAAGATTTAGCTTCTTATGTTGACTCCAAGTCTTAGAAGCAACAACAAAATAAGATAAAAACCTGTATTTCATACAAAAAGAGTTTTTCAAAGAGGTTGAAAATAATCTAAAAATAAAGAAGTTCCTTGTGGAAGGGTCTCTGACCATTTCTCTCCTCTTGTTTCAGATGACAGTCATGTCCCTTTCCAGGGACCTCAAGGATGACTTCCACAGTGACACAGTGCTCTCCATTTTAAATGAGCAGCGCATTCGGGGCATTTTATGCGATGTCACTATCATTGTGGAAGACACCAAATTTAAAGCCCACAGCAATGTCCTGGCTGCTTCAAGCCTTTATTTCAAAAATATCTTCTGGAGTCATACAATCTGCATCTCCAGCCACGTCCTGGAGCTGGACGATCTCAAAGCCGAAGTGTTTACAGAAATCCTTAATTATATCTACAGCTCCACAGTTGTTGTCAAGAGACAGGAAACAGTCACTGATCTTGCAGCTGCAGGAAAAAAGCTGGGAATATCCTTCTTGGAAGACCTGACCGACCGCAACTTCTCCAGTTCCCCGGGTCCCTATGTATACTGCATTACTGAGAAGGGCGTGGTGAAAGAAGAAAAAAATGAAAAAAGGCATGAAGAACCAGCCATCACCAACGGGCCAAGGATCACAAATGCATTTTCCATCATTGAAACGGAAAATAGTAATAACATGTTCTCTCCACTGGACTTGAGGGCGAGTTTCAAAAAGGTCTCCGACTCCATGAGAAGCGCGAGCCTCTGCCTGGAGAGGACGGACGTGTGCCACGAGGCGGAGCCCGTGCGGACCCTGGCCGAGCACTCCTACGCCGTTTCCTCCGCGGCCGAGGCTTACCGAAGTCAGCCTGCGTGCGAACGTGCTAGCAGCCCGCCCGGGAAAACAGGTAAAGAAAGTGGGGAAGCTCCTGCCGCAAAACCGAAACCATGCCGGAAGCCAAAGACACTCCCCGTGCCCCAGGACTCTGAACCAGCCACAGAAAAGGCGCCACCCCCTCCAGTAACCAGCATGGAGGTTAATCAAGAAAGGAGTCCACAGCCAGCTGCAGTTCTTTCTGGTTCAAAGTCTCCCCACAATGAAGGGGATGTCCATCTTCCCCGGGAAGATGAAAATAAGTCCTCTGACGTTCCCGGGCCACCAGCAGCGGACATGCCACCTCTCATTTACAATTGTAGCTCCTGCTCCAAGTCCTTTGACAGCAGCACTTTGCTCAGTGCCCACATGCAGCTGCACAAGCCTACCCAGGAGCCCTTGGTGTGCAAGTACTGCAACAAAGAGTTCAGCACCCTGAACAGGTTGGATCGGCACGAGCAGATCTGTATGAGGTCAAGCCACATGCCTGTCCCGGGAGGAAATCAACGCTTTTTAGAAAACTACCCTACCATTGGACAAAACGGAGCTTCCTTCACAGGTCCAAACTCTCTATTATCTGGAAATAGGATTGGTGAATTTTCCAGTACCGGAAGTACCTTGCCAGAAATGGACCACCTGGTTAAATTCGTTAATGGACAGATGCTCTACAGCTGTGCTGTGTGCAAGCGGAGTTACGTGACTTTGTCCAGCCTCCGCAGACATGCCAATGTTCACTCATGGAGAAGAACATACCCTTGCCACTACTGCAACAAAGTATTTGCATTGGCTGAGTACAGGACAAGGCATGAAGTCTGGCATACAGGAGAAAGGCGGTATCAGTGCATTTTCTGCCTTGAAACTTTCATGACCTACTATATCCTCAAAAACCACCAGAAGTCTTTCCATGCCATAGACCATAGACTTTCCATCAGTAAGAAAACAGCAAATGGAGGCTTGAAACCCAGTGTTTATCCATATAAACTGTATAGGCTACTGCCTATGAAGTGCAAGAGGGCTCCTTATAAGAGCTACCGAAGTTCTTCCTATGAAAACGCTCGAGACAACAGTCAGATGAACGAGTCTGCAGCCGGTCCCTATGTCATTCAAAATCCACGCAGCTCTGAATTACCTACTCTGAATTTCCAAGACAGCGTGCACACTCTGACCCGCAGTCCAGCTGTCCCATTGGAAACAGCCACAGGTCAGAACAGACCCACTCCTGCCAACATCCAAAACGCAGAGGGGACCAAATGGGGAGAGGAGACATTGAAAGTTGATCTTGATAATAACTTTTATTCAACTGAGGTATCAGTTTCGTCCACTGAAAATGCTGTCCGTTCTGACCTTGCGACTGGGGATGTGCCTGCTTTGCCTTTGAGCAATGGCAGTGAGAACTCGGCGTCCGTGATCAGCTACAGCGGCTCAGCACCCTCGGTCATTGTGCACAGCAGCCAGTTTTCGTCGGTGATCATGCACAGCACCACTGTGGCTGCCATGTCCAGCAACAGCCACAGAGCCCCTTCAGACCCAGCTGTCACCCAGACCATGAAAGATGACAGCAAACCAGAGCCAGACAAAGTGGGGAGAGTTGTCAGCAGACCCAAAAGTATTAAGGAGAAAAAGAAAAGCATCCCAGGTAACAGGGGAGAAATAGTGGAGGAACCAAGATACGTGGCTGATCCCGGAGGGTCGCTCAGCAAAACCACTAATGTCATTAAAGAAACCAGTAAAATTGAAACCTACATTGCAAAGCCTGCTCTCCCCGGCACCTCCACAAATAGTAACGTTGCGCCCCTTTGCCAAATAACAGTCAAAATTGGGAATGAAGCCATTGTGAAAAGGCATATCCTAGGATCTAAATTGTTCTATAAAAGAGGGAGAAGACCCAAGTATGAAACGCAGGAGGAGACTTTACCACAGGAGAGTGACCTGGAAACCAAGGGAGACAGCCCCCTCGGGCTTTGCCAACCCGAGTGCGTGGAGATGAGTGAAATGTTCGATGATGCGAGTGACCAGGATTCCACCGACAAACCATGGCGCCCTTACTACAACTACAAACCCAAAAAGAAATCCCGACAGTTGAGAAAAATGAGGAAAGTCAACTGGAGGAAAGAGCATGAAAACAGAAGCCCAAGCAGTAAGTATAAATACCCAGCAGAGCTGGACTGTGCCGTGGGGAAGTCTCCCCAGGAGAAGGCCTTTGAGGAAGAAGAAAACAAAGAGATGCCCAAGTTGCAGTGTGAACTCTGCGATGGAGACAAGGCCTCGGTGGCTGGCAGCCTGGGAAGGCCCCACCGGCATCTCACCGCCAGGCCGTATACCTGTGAGCTCTGCGCCAAGCAGTTCCAGAGCCCTTCCACGCTCAAGATGCACATGAGGTGTCACACCGGAGAGAAGCCGTACCAGTGCAAGACCTGCGGCCGGTGCTTCTCCGTGCAGGGGAACTTACAGAAACACGAACGCATCCACCTGGGCGTCAAGGAGTTCATCTGCCAGTACTGCAACAAGGCGTTCACGCTGAATGAGACCCTCAAGATCCACGAGCGAATCCACACTGGCGAGAAGCGTTACCACTGTCAGTTCTGCTTCCAGAGTTTTCTGTACCTCTCCACAAAAAGGAATCATGAGCAGAGGCACATTCGGGAGCACAATGGGAAGGGTTTCGCCTGCTTCCAGTGCCCCAAAATTTGCAAAACAGCTGCCGCCCTTGGAATGCACCAGAAGAAACACTTATTCAAAAGCCCAAGTCAGCAGGAGAAAATAGGTGATGTGTACCATGAAAACTCAAATCCGCTGGAGAATCCTCATTTCATGGATTCGGAAGACAATGACCAAAAGGATAATGTACAAACCATTGTTGGAAATGTCCTTTGAGTGGTGATACTTAGAAAAAAAAATCTTCAAAAATATAAGTTGGTGGGTTTGTTTTTTGTTTGTTTGTTTTTTTTTTAGTTAGCTGTTTTGTTTTCAGTTTTGTTTTGTTCACATAACAAGTCATGAAGGAGTGAATTATAAAAAAGAAAATCTCATTTGTGAAAATTCCAGATAAAGGATCCCAATATCTACTTTGGGTTTTAGCATTAACGTCTTGCAAAGTGCGCAAAAACGAAATAGCTGACGCCAATATTCCAAGTATCTTGTGAAAGTTTATGAAGTTCTTAGCTGTGGTATTTCTGCCAGTGGGGGAAAAAGAGTTTCGTTTTAGCCTAATTTAAAACTTTCTGGTTAGTGCTAATAGGAACTGGCTGCTAAACTGTCTTTAGTCACTGGAGAGAATGAGGGTCAGACATCGTGAAAATCTCATCTTCATAAGTTAAAAGGTAAATGAGCAATGACAGTCATTCCCATTCAGCTTCTGCACTATTGAAAATTGTTTAAATTTAATGGATACATATTAAATACTTAATAATATAGCTAAAAATGTGTGTGAAATGAGTAACCTAAGTAGGACATTCATATATTAGAACTACTTTTCTGCAACACAAACCTTGTAAAATACATATATAAATCACTATAACTTTTAACTGTCCATGTCCCCTGTAGATATTTATAATGATGAGCAATAGATCTGCAAATAAAGAGGACTGATGTAAAAATCAGTAGAAAGCATTTTGAATATGACTTAAGAGCATGCGAATGCTTTTAGGTGGAATGCTGTTCCCTTGATGTTACGGCTGAGCTGTTGGAGCTGGTCTATTCAAGTCACAGAAAACATAGGTCATGCCTTATCTATGGGGGAAAGCCTTCCCAGAATTTACCTGTGATTACCTGTGCTGTGTATTACTTTACTATGGCCTCCCCTCAGAAAACAGAGAACGGTCAAATTCTTCTGAAACTCCCTGCAGTCTTCCATCCATCACAAGGCCATAAACGTGGAGGTCTGTTCCAGACAGACTTAACCAGTCTCAAGGGTTCAAGTAAAACCTGACGCTCCCATTTCACCAAAGGAGTGTCTGGGAAATGTAGCACCAGGCACACATGCCGTGGTGAATGCCCGGACACTTGAAAGGGACAGAAAGCCTAATCCCTACAATGATTAGCTTTCTTGGAGATCATGCAACCCACAAGTATATACTGGTATAAAACAAAAGGAGAGCAGAAACACACACCCTGCCCCACCCACTACGGACTTGAGTGGGCAACTGGAAGGGATGACCTTCCTTGCCTCAAATAGTAGCTTTGTTTTTTGGGTGAGGAGGGAGATAGAATATGGAGTGAAAAGGGTCCATCACTTACATGACTCAGAAATATACCCACAAAGTCAGATGCCTTGTCTTGATGTTTGCAGACATCTAGCCCCCTTGCTAAAAAAAACCCACTTAAGTTTTTTAATGTTCTTTTGTGTTGATCCATACTATCAACATTGTCCCTCAAAGTCTAATTGCCCTGTAGGTAGTCCATCATCTGGACTAGGTCCTGGGAAGCTGGAACTCACGGTTCTTACTTTTTAAACTGCCATAATAGGAGGCCGAGAGAAAACATTCCTATCCTTTGCTCACCAGTATGAGCAGAATCTGGAAATCGGTTCAAGGGTAACCTGCAGCCATTCGTGTTCATGGAATTTGATAGATGGAAACCCAAGGTTATCCAAGTTGCAAGGTTATCATTCAGAAGAAGTAGCTCAGAGGACTCCTGTTTCTCCAAATGTTGTGATGTCTCCATGAAGAAGACTTAATACAGATTTGGGTGGGCAAGAAAGCATTTAAACACCCAGAAAAGGACATGATCAAAGCTGACCTTTCAATATTGTACTACTTTGCTATTAGTAACCCCAATATTGTATCTGCATTTATCTTTTGTTCATCTACTTTCACTTACATACAGTATTATGTAATAGAGGAAAATGGAAAAATGCAAGCAAATTCAACTTTATTTTACACATTGTATATATGTATACCTGCACTATTCATTTAGGTTTTGTTAAAGAGATAGTCACAAAGGGCTTATGAAAATAATTTTGAATTGATAATTAGAATATTGACAAGCAATCCTGTGATCTACTAATTGGTTTTATCTCAATTAGGATTATGAATCAAGAAAAATAATTGTGCATTTTAGTCATTTTGATTTGAGGTAACTCCAAATATAAAATTATTACATGTAGTGATGTCGCCCAGCCCTTACATGTGGATATTTTTTAAGTGGACTTGTATGCTGATAATTCTAGACCAAAGTAACTATGGCAGAATATTTATACATGAAAAAATAATTTTGCAAATATTTTCTATAATTGTATTATTCGTTTAAGATGTTGACAGCTTGTGTTAGTTTCAGGGAGGGGTGTATATTTTGATAAAAAATACTTGACTTTGTAATTCTGTATAGTCTACACAATTTATAGCAGAGCCGTTTTAAGACAGCCTTGTCACATTTTTTGTTAATTGTGAAAACTTTATTATGAGTGATGTTTAAGTATGCATTGAGTACATAATGACCAACTAGAATTCAAGTTAAGTGTAAACAGTGAACATACTGTATGCTGTACAAGATATATTGTAATTTGCTGTTTTAGCATCTGTATTTTGGTTAGAGATATTATTAAATGCAGATGTCAAGGGTTGGAAAAAGTTTAATTTTATTTTTAGAAATAATGAATATAAATTTGTTTTTGCTTGATTAAAATAGCTTGTTCCTATGTTAAGTCTCTTTTTAAATGTCTCAAATGTTAATTCTTTTCTGCAGCCAAGCAGCTATTCCCTCTGTGTGAGTCACAGCATTGTTTCCCTTAGTGTTCATCGGTGCAGTTCTGTCTCCTCGCTTGTTTACATTCCGGGGTACCTACTTACACACTTAGTACTCAAGTGGAATATGACATTAAAAAAAAAAAAAAAGGCAGCCTGGCCAGTGGGGCGCAGTGGATTGAGTGTGGTCCCATGGACTGAGAGGTCCCCATTCAATCCCCAGCCAGGGCACATGCCCCGGTTCAGGCTCGATCCCCAGCAGGGGGCGTGCAGGAGGCAGCTGATCAATGTTTCTTTCTCACATCAGTATTTCTCTCTCCCTCCCTTCCTCTCTCTCTCTAAAAAATCAATAAACATATATCTACTAAAAAGCAGAATAAGAGAAGTTGAAGTCCTCTGGTAACAGTGCTTTGGATAGGCCTGGTGGTGTGAGGAATCGGTGCGGGAAGTGCCCGCTGCGCGCCTCCGCGGGAAGGGTTGGGCCGACTGTGCCAGGCACTCGCGATGCCCTCTGCGTGCACTGGTTCACCAGCCCTTCCCCGACAACCCTGGGAGGTAGATGTCAATATCCATGTGTTATAGTGACTTTGAGAGGATCCCAGAGCTGCCCAGCACCACAGCCCACATTGTGTTCCTGCTCAGCACCTTAGAGAGAAATGCTTACTGTCCACAGAACAGAGAGTGAAGAGAAACGACGTGAAGTTCAGCTCGAGGATGGTAGTTTTTAACAGTGGCAGCTTCAAGGAGGTCGTGTTCGGCTCAGCTTCCCCAGACTCATTGCTAATCTAATTCCCGAGGCCGCAATACTTGGGCATGTGGCTTATATCTTGGGATATTGGCCAATAAATTCAGTTTTTAAGAGTTTGTACATTTTTTAAAGAATATGGACTGAAATTATAATTTAATGCTAGTCATTTTTCACATAAAAACATCTGTTCCTTCATCACAGACTATACTCTTAAGCTTAGCTAATTATCTTCAAAAGCATGCAGTTAGTCACAGTGGCTCAAGCACCCCAATTCGTCACCAAATGAGTTATGAAAAGTAATTCAAATTTCCAGCCCTACTAATGTCTGGCCAATACTATCAATTTTGTATTTAAAGGGCAATTCAAAACGAATTCACCAAAAGTTGGGTAACCGCTGTCTGCTAAAACTAACTCGATTAGCAAAACAGATTTAATAGCAAAAGAATCTATAACAATCGAGAAGGTAACTGGATTAAACGGATAATGAATCACGCAAATCAATCCTGTCTGTATATATTCTTTGAATTACTTTGGGTCTTTTCATTCCTATTGCTCCTCTTCCTCTTTTCTCATCAACTGTTGATTGATTTGGTTCCACTCCCTCTGTCTCCATCAGTTCCTTTTTGCAGAACGGAAATGACTTTTTTCCACTTCCGTTTCCTCCCTATCTGAGAACTCTTCACCTTCCCCCCCCCCCCCAAGTCCTGGCCATCTATTGATCTCCCTTCTGGAGAGAGAGCCCCTTTGGCCCTCCCTTTCTCCCCCTTTTGCCACCCTCAATCCTGATTCTTCAAGCAAGATGGGCAGCGAGCTGGTGAGTTGGCTTGGTGTGCAATTTTTTAAATGAAACCCTCCAAATTTAGACAACTAATGAAAGAATTGGTTATACCAGAAACGTGACTACATTTTTTATTATTACTTAATTCTTGATGTCTAAGACATCAAATAATTCTATTTTTTAGAATGAGAACTCAACAGCACCTTTTTTAGTAATTTTGAAATTTTTGATTTCTATTATGTCAGCGATGTCAACCTTTTTCATCTCCTAGCACACAAACTATTTACTAAAATCTGCAGTACACCAAAAAATACATGTTTTGCCGATCTGATGAAATAAATAGGTATGCTTTTGACTAATTCACACCAGATGGCTATTGTGTTGGCTGTTGTCATCTTTTAATTTGACAATCGAAGGGAAAAGAGGTCAGTGCCCCTGACTAAATAATCAGGTACTGCATGTTTTAAAAATTCTTGCAGCACACCAGTTGAAAGTGGCTGTTCTATGTACTCTTTTAATAAGAAAAATTTGAAACATATGCAAAAGTAGAATAGTATAGCAAACCCCAATGTACCTATTATCCAATTTCAACAATTCATAGCTTATTTTTAAAATCTATAACCTGATCTATTTTCCCTCTCTCCTATGTTATTTTGAGACAAATCCCAGACATCCTACCATTTCATCTGTGACTATTTTAGTATACATCTCTAAAAGCATTTTAAATATTACCATACCATTATAACAGCTTAAAATTTAATAAGTTTTTTGTTTTTATTTTTGTTTTGTTAATCCTCCCCCAAGGATATGTTTTCCATTTTAGAGAGAGTAGAAAGGAGGGAGAGAGAAAGAGAAAGAGAAACATTGATGTGAGAGAGACACATTGGTTGCCTCCCGCACACACCCCGACCAGGCCCAGGGATCAAACTTGCAACCCAGGTACGTACCCTTGACCGGGGGAAATCAAACCCATGACCCTTCAGTGCTCGCGCCAAAGCTCTGTCCACTGAGCCGCACCAGCCAGGACAAAAAATTAATAGTTTTTTTAGTATCAAATTCAATCAAAATGTCTGATTGTCTTCTAATTGTAATATATATATTTTTACAATTTGAATCAACTCAAATAAGGTCCCACACTACAGCTGGTTGGTATAGATAGCTGTGTGTCTTTTAATCTGTAGGTCCCTCCTTCCCCCATCTCTTTCTTTTCCCCCTTTGCAATTTATTTTTGAAAAGTTGTCCTGGAGCCCTGGCTGGTTTGGCTCAGCAGTTAGAGCGTCGGCCTGCGGTCCAGGGAGACCCGGGTTGGGTTCCCACTAAGGGCGTGTACCTCAGTTGCAGTTTGTCCCCGGCCCTGATTGGTTGTGTGGGTGGCAGCCACTCGATGTGTCCCTTTCACATCGGTGTTTCTCTCTCTCTGTTCCTCTCTCTCCCTCCCACTCTCCCTGAACAAAAAATAGAAAAATGTCCTCAAGTGAGGGAAAAAAATAAAAAAGAAAAGTCCTGGAGAGATTCTCACAGTCTGGGAATTAGCGAGGTTGGGTTGTTTTTCCATCAGCAGGCACTTACTGACTGGTTGAGCCATTGGGTGGACTTTGAAGATAGATTTGAAAGGATTTTCACGTGCTTTAGGTCCCAGGTGGAAAGGAAAACAGAGAAAAGGATGATCCCAAGGTTTGGACCTGAGCAGTTGGAAGGATGGAGTCACCTGAAGACAACTAGATGTGTGGATCAGAAGAGAAGACTGATTTCAGGAATGGATCTGAATGTCACATCTCCGTCATTCAAAACTTTTGGGCTAGGTGATGGGAAGACAAGCGTGGGCAGAACAAATAGTCCCTGGAGCTTAGGACCTCGTGGGGATCACAAAAACTAGAACGTGCCAACTACAATGAGTGCCGTGAAGAAGAGCTACCTGGGGCTCTGGGGACATCTGAAGGAGAGACCTAACCAGTCTGGAACCTCAAGGGAAGTCATCTTTGAGGAAGTAACTTGAGCTGAGGTCTGAAAGATGATTAAGAGTGAAGGAGGACAGGGTGTCTGGGTAGCGGGAATAGCATGTACAGAAGTCGCTTCCAGAAGGTGCACTGGAAGCCAGTGGTGGCCAGAGTGCAAGAGAGATGAATCTGAGATGAGGCTGGAGGACAGGAGCCAGACCACACAGGGCCTCCCAGGTCATGCTAAGGGTGTGAATCTCTTTGAAGAGCAATAAAAAGCCATTGAATTGTTTAAAGCGGATTGGGACAGAGTTATTTTTATCAAATTTGTGTTGTCAAAAAGTCACTGTGGCTGAAATGTAGAGAATGACTATAGAGCAGTTAGGAAGCTATTGCACTGGTCCAGGCTGGAGACTAGAGTGGCTTGGATTACACAGCGGCAGTGAAGATGGAGAGGGGGAGGATTTGAGAGCTATCGAGGAGATAGAAGCAGCAGGATTGATGTTGGATTGCTATGGAAAGGGAGGACTAGAGAGGGGTCAAGAAGAACATTTTGGTTTTGGAATTGTTGAAACTGGGAATGTAAGACGTCCCTTAGGAAGCTCGTATAGAAAAAGAAGACAGAATCCTGGAAAACACCGCTACTTCAAAGATGAGTTAAATAAACTCCTATCTAAGAGAACGCGGCAAAGAGGGTCCAGAGAAGTCGGAGGAGAGCTGGGGAGTGGCAGCGAGGAAGAACTCTCAGAAAGAAGAGAATGGTAATTGTGTCGAGGGAAGATAAAGCCAAGTAAGGAAAGTCTGCAAAGTGCTCCATTGCACCCATCCAGAAGGTCACTGGCAGTGGTGTGGAGAAGGTTAATAACCAGCTCTTTGGGGAGGTGGGAAAGCCTGATTTATGATGTTTGCCCATTTCTGCGGTGCAGATACTCTCACCATGGATGATTTTAAGCGACTGACCAAGATGATGTCCCTGAATATGGAGCTGGGAAGAGAAGTATCCGGTTGGTCACGAGAGCTGGTATGAGCCTGCTCTAGTGACTCAACCCGTGATCTTGGCAAGAGTGGTTTCGGTGTGATGGCAGGTGGAAGCTGAGGGGCAGGTGCAGTGAGTGAGGATTCTTGTTTCAAGAAGCTTAGCTGTGAAGGGGAAAAGAAACAGGTAGCTAAAGTGGAACCTAAGTTGGGGACCAGGATTCACTGTTTGGGAGGAGGGGAGAACAAAGGATGAAGAGGCAAGGGAGTGGAGGGTGCTGGCGAGAGACTGGCTGCAGCCAAGAACTCTGGAGCCTGGGTTTAAGGAAGTATAGACTTCAGGGCCTGATAGACTGGCCCAAATGCAGGGGTCCGAAATGAGGTGTCTCGGCGAAGGCTGCGGGGTCTATGTTCTTCAAAGCTCTTTCACGGTTGTTCTCCTGTTTCTCCCGCACAGCAGTCTTGTGGTGGCAGCGGCATAAGGAAGATAAGGGGTTGCCTAGGCTCAGAGAGAGG